GAAACGTGTCTCTCGTTCATGTTTTAAGTAACATAATATGACACTAACCCTAACGCTAACCGTTCCTAGCTTTATCCTGCCTGTATCCCCAGCCTTGCTTATCGTTATCGATCTTGCTCATGTGTTTCCCCACCAATCCAGTAGTTGTCTCCCTCAGGAGACTTTTTCCGCTAGACTCTCCCATTATGTCCGTTCCCCGTTTACCAAGTGCTTGTGTGTCACATTACACATCATGTAAGTATGTCAAATCCTAGTCTTTATGTTGATCTGCTGAGTCTCTGATCTGCTGACGAGTGATTTTTGTCAGCAGCTGCTGTTGTTATTCAGACTGAAGGTTTGTGAGGAATCCGTGACAGGAATTATATGCATTAACTGTAGAGACTCAGTGACGTCCACTGATGCAGGAACGGTGGAAGGTCACCCGTTTCTGAATCCCTGAAAGTAAGTTTTCTATTACATTTACATCATCTTTTTTTTTTTCTTTTTTCCAAACATTGTACAACTTAGGTTTATTCACTGGACCTGGACGGCTTAAATTAAATAAAGGCTGGAAAAATGGAGCCAGTACTTTTGCAGTGCACATTAAATACATGAAATGCAAGTGTTAGGATGTTCACACAGTGATATTATAGCTCAGTGTTTATTACAGAAAACACCTGAGTAAAGCAGGTGAGAAAAGTCTGACAGCAAACGAGTATTTACAGCTGAAAACAACATGTCAGTTTTCTAGGAGGAAATACAGTTCCACATGTTGGATGTTTCCACAGACATGCAGTGACTCATAATAATACAATAATACCTAATGCTAATGCTAACCCTAACGCTAACCAAATTAAGATTTTCTGCTGAAGTCTCATGTTAAATATTAGAAACAGCAATAAAGCTGCGATATGATTGAAGGCTAAATGTTTCACACAGTTGGATGAGTTTGTGTTTTGTTTTTCTTCTCAGACGTGAAACAAAAAACAAAATCTGACATTTAAATGCATCAGACTCAAGAAACATTGAAGGTTCTGACTGAATATTCCTCTTTACATGTGATGATATGCTATGATTACCCTAACGCTAACCCTAACACTAATGCTAACGCTCATGCTAACGCTAACCTAACATGAATGCTAACACTAACACTAATGCTAAGGCTAATGCTAACCTAACACGAATGCTAACTCTAACGCTAACCCTAATGCAAACGCTAACCCTAACCCTAATGCTAACTCTCACCCTGACCCTAATGCTAACCCTGATGCTAACTCTCACCCTAACCCTAACCCCAATGCTAACTCTCACCTTAACCCTAATGCTAATGCTAACCCTAACCCTAATACTAACTCTCACCCCAACCCTAATGCTAATGCTAACCCTAACCCTAATGCTAACTCTCACCCTAACCCTAACGCTAACGCTAACCCTAACCATGATCACAGAAGCAGCCGTTTGTTGCTACTTGAGGGTAAAACCTCAGCAAGTTGTTGGATCAGTTTGTATTGCTGTGACAGGTGCTGATACTCTGTTCTCTGTCCATACGAGTCTATAAATACACAACATGTCAGGATTTACCAGTTAATGTTCACTGCAGCTAGTTTGGTTCCCTGTACTGCCACCATCAGCACAAAATAAAAATAATGCAATTATTTGCTGTACAAACCTTTCTGGCAGAGTTTAGGGTTCGTGATGCAGTGATGGTTCATTCTCTGGAGGTCTGACTGCTGGTACGTCTACCAGTAAACATTGCTGTGAAGGATTTTCTCCCAGTCAGACCAGTAACAACCATCGTGATTCCAGTCGCAAAGACAACATTTCCCACTTTGAGCAGAGATGAATAATGTGTTTGTTTTTCAGACAGTCCTGCACATAGTCTCAGTTTTCCAGTCAGACCAGTAGAAACAGGAGTTTTCCCAGCGAGGCCAGTCTCAAACTGACCTTCCCAGTTAGACCAGTGCTCTGAGGAGGAAAGACAGAGCAGCTCCTAAAGCCAGACCCAGAGACAGGAAGAAAGCCATGATGGCTCCGGCTGTTTCCGCCTCGTGAGGAAGAACGTTCCTGTCGAAAAAAACAGACGTTGTTAGTGAATGTTAGTTGGAAAATCATTGAACAACGTTCAGTCTAACGTTTCCTGACTGTCTGTAGCGTGTTGCTGTTCAGACCTCAGACATGTCGGCTAGCTGAAGACTCACTGATGCTGGCGTGATTGTGCACGAGCACACAGTTGTGCTGCTGTGAGTATTTCTACCGTGAACGATGGTGAACGATGGTGAAGGAAAACAGACGTGAACACAGCTGATGTTTACGACCCATGAGGTTCTGGTGGATTACGGGGAGCGGTGGTGAGTTCTTACTTGGGGCCGTAGCACATGCAGAGACTGGCCAGGTATCCGTTACTGAAGGCGAAGAGGATCATGAAGACGATGAAGAATCCATCGTGGTAGAAGAAGACGGGCAGGTGGAGACGAGGCTGGACGTTGCACATCATGAAGAGCGGCACGAGGACCACACGGCACAAGATGAGCGCTGGAAGGATCCTGCTGTCTTTTCCTGGCTGGAGACAGACAACAACTGATCATCCATGAAGTTTCCTCCACTCATCTGCAGTCAGGTTGCTGAGGCAGCAGGCTGAGCAGCTCATGCTAGATGTTCCTCTTCCAGCAACACTTTCCAGTCCTCCTGGCGTTGCGGCCACATCTGTAATCCCTGCAGCTGTACAGGTGCAACTCTTTAGCTGCTGCCCAGTCAGCAGAGCACCTGACCCCAAGTTGGACCAGGTGGTGCAAAAGAACATGTGCTGGTGGATCATTGAAATCAAACTCACCCACATACAGACGGCTGTTAAGCTCCGCCCGCCCCAGTCGCACAGGTTGAAGAGCAGGAAACAGCTGACTGGGATGAAGTAGAGGTCTGTAAATCAAGCAGACATCATGATCTCAGTGAGCAAACGGAAACTGTTCTTCGCTGTTTGTGCACCAGTAGAAGAATCAAACTGCAGCGAGTCGCTGAGCAGCTGTGTTCTGTTTTACTTCAGTTCTGGTGCCACAGATGTTCTGTGTAACGCTGTACAGTGGGCCACCACAGAAGAAGAAAGAATGGCTGAGACAGGAAGTGAGGTGTCACTGACCCCAGCTGCTGTCAGCGAGGGTGGACCGAGTGTCGGCCGCAATGGCGGGAAACGTGCCGATGGTGACGGTGAAGGTGAAGCAGACCGACAGCGCCAGAGTCCAGATCTGAGGGTCACAGACACAGTGTCAGTGGTACAAAGGGCTGAAAGGAGTCCGGACCAGGTCACACCCAGACCCAACGGCGGGTCAGGAAGTGACGTGTTCTATTCTGGGGCAGACGACCAATCACAGACAGGGACAGGTGTAGAGCTGCAGAAGAAGAACAAACTGTTTAAACATCGTCCAGACTGAAGTCAGGAAGGAAACAAACGGAGCAGCTTTGATGTGAACATCGATGGAGGTTCTGGTTCTACATCAATCCTCAGGCAGCACAAGACTGCACAACATCGCTCAGATGTAGTCGTCAATTAATAAATCCAGAAAGAGCAGATTGTTTAAATGATCTCATCATGTTGTCATCGGCCGTCACACTGTTAAAGAACAAATGTGAAAACCAGCCGTTTCATTCTGGATTAAGAAGCTGGACTTAAAGTCGGTCTCGGTCTGTTTCTGGGAACGTTTGACTTTGATTTGATTGAGTTGTGAATCTCTGACCTTCTTAAAGATTTCTATCATGGAGACGTCGTGTTTCTTCCAATCAGGGTTCGCGTCTTTATCCTCTGAAAAACACCAGGTTGACACAGTTTGACTGTTGGATCAGACCTCCAGCGTACCGGTTATAATAGAATAAGATGGACCAGAGAGGACTTCGTGTTGCTGTCGGACGGAGCTGTTCCAGTCGTACCTCTGCTCACCAGACTCACTGAGTTCTGCTCCTCATCTGGGATCGTCTGGTCCTTGTTTCTGTCTTGATAAAACTGGAAGAACTCCTGAAACACAAACGCACACAGAGCATCCAGTGTCATCTGACTGGACGAGAGTTCAGAGACGGACTCTAACCTTAACCCTGACCCTGACCCTTACCCTGACCCTTACCCTGACCCTTACCTTGACCCTTACCCTGACCCTGACCCTGACCCTTACCCTGACCCTGACCCTTACCCTGACCCTGACCCTGACCCTGACCCTTACCCTGACCCTTACCCTTACCCTTACCCTTACCCTTACCCTGACCCTGACCCTTACCCTGACCCTTACCCTTACCCTTACCCTGACCCTTACCCTGACCCTGACCCTTACCCTGACACTGACCCTGACCCTGACCACTTCAGCAGCAGCAGAATGAATCTGAGTGATGCCGCTGCTGCAGACAAACACTTGATGAGGCCACGTTTCTGCTGGAACTGGATTTTTATTTTTCACATGTATCAGCAGCAACTCTGAAGTCCTTGGACTTTATCACTGCACTGGATTTATGGCAGCTGATGACTGAGGCTGGGTGACGCCTTTTATTGATTTATTGCTGAGATTTCATCGTCTTCTGTCTTTGATGTGGGTCTGAACAAACTGAAGCCAGACTTACTGATAAGCCAAGGTTTGATTTCCACATATTTAACTTCCAGCTGCTCATTTGTTGTTGATTAATCTGTTCTTAAAACCAACATGTTGTAATTAAGGTTTTCATTTCCTACTAACTTTGTCTTTAATAGTGTTTTTGTTGTCTGAGCCTCTGATTGGTCGGCCAACAGTTTACATATAAATATATGAACCCTAATAACCCTGAATGATGCAGTCTATAAACGTTGTCTGTAGTGTGTCTGTAGTGTGTCTGTAGTGTTACCAGTCTGGGCAGCAGGATGTAGGACAGCACTGACAGGAAGATCACTGCGCAGGCTGTGATGAAGTAACCGAAGGCAGCTTCGTGCATCTCAGATCCACCTGCAGCACAGAGACACTGAGTCAGATCCTGACGGCTGATTGGCCAGTTACTAATCACATGTTATCAATACTAAAAGGTATTGATCAGACTTGTGATGGCGCAGATCATGGCGAAGGCCGCGAAGGTTCCAGCCAGTCCCTGACCGCTCATGATGGGAGTCGTGTAGGAAGCCGGCAGCAACCCGGCCATCCCGAAAAGACTGCCCTGCAGCACGGCGCCGAAGGCTGTCAACAAACAAACAAACAAACAAGCAGGTCAACACACACAGTGCCCTGCAGCACGGCGCCGAAGGCTGTCAACAAACAAACAAACAAACAAACAGACAAACTCACAGTTGATGATGACAATCTTCACCATGGTAACGGAGAAGAAGGGCAGCGGCTCCAGAGGAACTTTGACGAGGACGGCGGTGACGATGAAGATGAACATGATGACGAGCAGACTGCCCATCACCCGCACACGCTGAGGAACACTGACAAGGAGCACAAGGAGAAGCTCAAGGATCATCTGAGAGCTCAGACGAGCTGCACTGAAGCAGTCACACTTCACAAACATTCAGACTGAAGCAGCGGCGACATCGAGGACACAGATTCGGTTCCTCCAACATCCCACAAACACGGCTGGTTCTGGTCTACAGCTCACCTGTAGGAGCTCCACCTGTAGGAGCTCCACCTGTAGGAGCAGCAGTATTGAAAGTGTTTCCCTCCAAGCTGATGAATAGATTCAGATGCAGCTCATGGGTTAGGGTCACACACACCTCCACAGAGCTCTGTTTGTTCAGGAGCTCTTCTTCGTTGGTGCTACTCACAGTGAATGCAGGAAGGAGTTGAGGCAGGTGCAGAGCAGCAGCGGCAGCATCGCACAGAGCGTCATCACGTTGTTGAACATGGCCTCCAGAACGCTACGCTGTTCACCTGCTGCCTCTGTCTGATTGGCTGAAGAAACATCCAGTGAGGAGTCCTTCAGACGGCTGGTGAAGTACTGTACGGACAGACGGACAGACGGATCAGGACCCTAACCCAGGATCTGCTTTTCTGCAGCTGGTGTCTCTGTTTCAGTTGAAAGCTGTTTCTGAGCAGCAGATGACCCAGATCCCGTCCAGGTCCCTAACCCACGTCCTGGTCCCTAATCCTGACCCACATCCTGGTCCCTGCCTTAACCCTAATCCTTCTCTCGCCCCCCCCCACCACCACCACCACCCACAGGTGTAACTCTGGACTCACCTGCCCATAATCACCACAGCTCCCATAAAGACCTTGTTCTCTCCACCACACCCTGCCAGACCAGAGCTGTTCCTCCCACATGGTTCTGCCGGTCCCTGCTCCGCCTCCACCAGGTCCAGCCTGGGTTCCCTGAGCCTGTCTGCCCCTGTTTGTCCCCGTTTGTTTGAGTAGCTGTGTTTTAATCTTAGAGTTCTTTTGTTTTTTTCTTCTCTGTTCTTAAGAGTTTTTAGGTGTTCCTAGTTTTGCCCCCTTCATACTTCAGTCTGGTTTTCCTGTTCTGTTTCTCTTCTTGTCCTTGTTTCATAAGTCTTGTGTACAGCTCATCTGAGTCTGCACCTGGGACTACAGCCCTGTTTGCTGCCATCTTATCCGGTTGAGCTACCGGGTGTCCTGTGGAGCGGCTCGGTAGCGATAGTTGAATGAGACTGTTATTCCCACCTGGTCCGGCCAGTACCGGGTTTAGCTGCTATCTTCATGTAAAACATTCAACGTGTAGTTATCCTGCCGGTCCTGTAGGGGTCCCTGTAGATCATCTGTGTAGCGTTGCCTTGAACCCTGCTTTCTGTTTCTGTGGATTCTACGCCTGTCTGCTCCTGAGCTCTGAACCCGACCCGGGACATGCACTCGGTCCTGATCCTGACTGACAGTAATCAGCCTCAGAGTTTATGTCCCAGAAACACTTTGACCAATGTGCAGAGGATTGTGGGTAAACAGTGGGTGGCGCATCGGGGTGCGCTGTCAGTGTGGGCTGGTGATGTGCTGTGCGTCCTACCATAGTGGCGGTCATGAAGAAGTTCCACGGCAGCAGCGTCCCTAAACCCAGCATGAAGAAGATCAACCACACGCCTCGATACCTGCAGGGAGGCACAACGAGTTCTGTGATTCTGCTGACTGTTGGACCGGACCTCGCTGTCGCTCTGAGCTGTTAAGACCACGGCCGGCACGGTGGGCCAGTGGGTCTCGCTGTGGTCTCACAGAAGGTCCTGGTCTGAATCTGGGCTCTTTCTGTGTGGAGTCTGCATGTTCCCCCTGCTGGGTTCTGACCGGGTTCTCCAGCTTTATAAGCTCTAACCCACAGTCTACAGACATGCTGAGGTTACCTGCTGATTTAAGTGGTGAGTGTGTCTCGGGTTGTTACCTGTTGTTGCCTGTCCAGGGTTATGGTTGTTACCACAGACTGTGTAACAGATGGACGTAGCTACCGTGACGTCACCGGTTGGTTTCTGCTCTGAGAACAGGAAGCCAGGGTTTTGCTACTTCCTGGTTGACATCTTAGATTTTTGGAGCCAGTGACGCAAAAATCGTCGTAGGGGGGCGGAGCCATAGGAGCAGCGATTGGTCAGACGGATTGAGAGGCGGGTCCTCTCTGCCCGCCCACATTTACTGCCTTCTGCTCGCTTCGTCTGTATGGTCGCTGCCGACTGTCAATCAAGCCAGCCACGCCCCTTGCCCCGCAACATGTTGATGATTTTTTAAAAACTCAGTATTGATTTATTTTCAGATTGGCCACCTGATCTCTGGATCTGACCATGAAAACTAATAAGAAAACAATCCTGAGCTGTAGGAATGCAGTATTTGGTGATCTGTGATCACTTCTCTTCCAGTTCCAGTCTATGGGAGCCAGGGCTTTGTGGAGCCAGCAGCTAGTGGACGTAGTGATGCTGCAGGTTTCTGACACTTCCAGGTTGGCTTCATTTTTCAGGGACGGCTGCTACGTCCATCTTTTATACAGTCTATGGTTGTTGCCTGTTGTTACCTGTCCAGGTGAACCTCCTTCCCCCTCAGTAATAATGTAATGACGGTGCTGTTTGGGTGCGACTGGTGCCACCCCTAAGCCTTCATGAGGAGAAGCACTGCTATGAGAGCAGGTGGAAGTTCTCCAGGACGGCAGCGCGTGAACCCCGACATGAAGCCCAGTTGCTGTCAGAACCAGGACCAGGACTTCAGCCGGTCTCTGTCTGATCTAACAGGGACGTTCAGACAGAAGCTCTGTTTGTTTATTTACGGGTTAAGGTCCTGATCAGCTGATGTTCTGTTCATGTTCAGAAGAATCCGACCCGTGTCATCGTTGCAGCTACATTAACGAACAGAAAAGTGTTTTTTTTATCACTGACAGATTGTTTTGTGTCTTTTTAAACGAGCTACAGCTGAACTCTGAATGAGCACAAACGTCCATTTCTATTACAGAACATCTGGTTCCAGCACATTTCTGGTATTTGATAGATTTACAGTTTTGCACCAGAGTTCCCGTAAACGAACAGATGTCCAGTTGCTCTACTTTTAGTTTGGCTCTGGAAACACTTCAGAACAGAGAACTTGTGACTCAGCGGCTGGACGTCCAAGCTGCCGTCAGCCTGGAGGTCCGTCGTCACATCGTTCAGGCTGAGCTGCATTCTGACTTTGTGCTCCGGGAGGGTTTCCACCGTTCTGCTCTTTCACTGTGTTCTAGTTCTGTTTCTGGTCAGCCAGGTTTTATCATCAGCCTATCATCAAGACCTTCTGACACAAAAGCACAAAGGCTTCTGTGAAACACCTGTCAGTCAACCAACCAATCAGCGACGCTTCGTTAGCTCCAGACTCTGAGAACATCTGAACATGTCGCATGTTCATGTCTGTGATGATGTGCTGGCTGTAGATCTCCTCACGTCAGTGAAAACATTTGTTTCAACTCACTTGTCTTTCGGTGAGCTCACGGCCATTTTCCTCTAGAGAACCAATCAGCTAGCGATCGGCTGGGCTGGAGAACCAATGAGGGGAGGCGGTGGTGGAGCGTCAGTCCAAACAGAATCCTGATCGTCAAACAGATGAACCAAATTATTTCTGAAACCAACTCCAATATTTGACAGATCAGTGGATAATAAACTTAATAAACACGTTGTCTTTAACGGGTTTTACATTAAATCTAACCCCTTCGTTACCGTGACAACATCCCCTGAACTTGAGGCTCAGCCAACCAGCAGACAGTATTCATGCCCAGCCCTCTGTGAGACGTTCAGGAGCCATCTAAAGCCTGACAAGAGCTGCTTCCTGTGTCTGTATGAATATAAAGCTGCTGTCCCTGAACGCATCGTATACTGTCATCACGTTGAGAGAAGTTTGATAGAACAGCCTGAACAGTGGTGTGTTCAGGGTCAACCCGGACCTTGGGTAACCCTGACCTCAGGTAACGCTGACCTTGGGTAACCCTGACCTCAGGTAACGCTGACCTTGGGTAACCCTGACCCTGAACCGTGGTGTGTTCAGGGGTAACCCTGACCCTCCAAACAGACAAAGCTGTTGGACCTGCAGCCACACTGACGATAAAACAACCGTCCTGAACATGAACCGTTAACCAGAGACAGCAGCTGCACACTTACCTTCAGCCTGATGTTCTGTCAATGTTCTGCAGACGTTCTCTCGTCAGTCAGCCCTTCTTTCAGCTGGTCAAAGCTCCGGCTTCAGTCTCTCTCTGTGAAATCCTCTTGTGTTGGTGTTTCAGGCGTCCGTCTGTTGAATATTCTGTCAGAACCGTAACCCAGCAGCTTGTTGTGAAATCTTTCTTCCTCACTCGTCGTTTCTTTCTGCAGTTTCAGCAGATTCACTTCTTCAGTCTGCACTGACTTGTAACCTTCCACCTCTGATATCAGGCCTGGAGTGGACTTTGGTTCTGTGCAAATAGTGACGGTGTGACTCCACAGAGAGCGAGTGCTGTGCTCACCTGTTCACTCGCTGGAATGACGTGATGAAACAAAAACATTTAATTCAATCAAACTGTTTGTCTTTAAATCAAATGAATATAAACTCGTCAATAAATAATTTCACAAAATCAAATAAATGAAAAAGTGGAAACAGGAAGAAGCTGCTATTCCAGAACACAGCAGCCGGTCCAGTCTGATGGAGCCACGATTCTCACCTGGATCCCTCACAGTAATCAGATTACTGCTACAGCAGAGTAAATACTCTACAGCTAGCAGTAATCAGATTACTGCTACAGCAGAGCAAATACTCTACAGTTAGCAGTAATCTGATTACTGCTACAGCAGAGTACTGTCTCTGATATCAGATTGCTACCACCTCAGAGTCGTAGATCAACTTCAAGCTCCACAGCAGGAACTAAACCGACTCCATCTCTGGTTCCTTCAGTCTTCGTCTCTCTGACATCCAGGCGGTTCTGTCCTGACTGGATTCTGCTGGTGCTGCTCGGCTCTCAGATGATGAGCTTACTGATCAAAGTTGGCTGAAGGGAGGACTGCAGCAGGCTCGCTGCAGAGCTGGAGGACCTGAGCGCTGCTGTGACTATTGGAAAGCTTCGTAGCAGGAACCAGCTGCAGAGGACGGAGTGGTGAGTAGACGACGGATAGACGCTAGTCGTCCACAGCATCCCAACATGAACCACTTGTGTACTGCTGAATCTTTTCTCCCAGTTAGCGACACAAACAGAAAAACGCTGCACACATGGAGACACTGAGACGGTTTTCAAATGTTGGCTTTTATTTGTTTATGGGAGCAAATGTCCAACGTGTGATCTGCTGAGGCTCCTCTTCTCTGCAGCTTGGACCTCAGCTACTTCCTGGCCGCCATCTGTTAGCTGTTTCCTGTTAGCTGTTTCCTGTTAGCTGTTAGCTGGTAGCTGTTTCCTGTTAGCTGTTAGCTGTTTCCTGTTAGCTGTTAGCTGGTACCTGTTTCCTGTTAGCTGTTAGCTGTTTCCTGTTAGCTGTTTGCTGTTAACTGTTTCCTGTTAGCTGTTTGCTGTTAACTGTTTGCTGTTAACTGTTTCCTGTTAGCTGTTTGCTGTTACCTGTTTGCTGTTAGCTGTCGGTGAACACAGCATCAGAATGGCGCTTGACAGGAAGTCGGTTGGCGTTCAGGTCACCGCTACAAAGAGAAGACGTTCAAGAAAGACGCTTTAAACTAATTACAATTTTTAAAAAGCAACCAAACAGAAATCCCGAAGAAAATTCTTTAAAATGTGTCTGTGTAAATGTATTAGGTTGGATCAGAACCAAACATAAATCAGGTTGAGGGACTCTTTGCTGTTGTCCAGAGAAAAACTCAACCCGAACCCTAAACCCAGAACATTTGGTTTTGTATCATCAGAATCAGAGCTTCATGTTTAACTCCAGCTGTGAGGCGGGATCGTTAAGCACCTCCAGCTGTGAGACGGGTTCGTTCAGATCCTCCAGCTCTGAGACGGGTTTCTTCAGAACCTCCAGTCGTAACTAAACGAGCACTAACCCTGGTGGGGGTAACCCTAACTGAGGAGGGGTGGGGCCCCAGCCCGATGCCCAGACTGCGCAGTTTGAACAACAGTCTGCTTGGAACAAGTGTGTTAAAAGCAGAATTGAAGTCCACGTGCAACATCCTGGAATACCTGCCAGACTGTTCAAATGTTGACACACTGTGTGGAGGGCATCACCTGTGGACCTGTTGGCTCTGGATGTGAACTGGTGCTGATCAAGGCTGGGAGGCAGGAAGGATTTTATGTGCCTCAGTGAAACTGAACTGATTATCTTCCTGACAGGAGTCACTGGTGTGCTACAAAGCAGGAGAACTGAAAGTATTTGAATACGATATAGCAGCCAGGAATAAAAAGATAAATGAGATCAAGAGAAGTCAAAGTGAGACACAATGAAAAACCTCATGAAGGCAGGCTCTAGAATAAACACCAAGATAAGAACATAACATTCAATTTACCACCTGAAGCCAAACGGATGGAGGGCGGAGCTACTCTCTGAACCATCAGTCCAATGGTGTTACGTTTAATTCAATGATCTGATCAGTTTAATGTCTGGCCCAGAAACACGATCATCAGCAGAAAGGAGACGATCATAGATGATGATTTATGAAACTCAAGTGACTGTTTAAGGACCAATAGTTGACCTGGATAAGTTTGGAAATACCAACAAAAAAATTATCAGAAAACTGAACAACAATGAAAACAAGTTTTTAAACAGTGTGATGAAGCAAAAACCTGATTTAGGACAAAAGGGCAAGTTCAGTAAAATCTGATTAAAACTGTAGAAACAGTGAAATCATCACGAGACACACGACTCGGACCAAAGGCAGAGAGAGGAGGAGGACGCCAGAAAATGGACAGTCTGCTGAAACAGCAGTTTAACCGACAACAATGAAAGAAGCAGAGACAGCAGACTTACTGAAGGGAAGTGAAGCAGAACAGAAGCTGCTGAAGGAGGAAGTGCAGGCTGATGAATGAACGGAGACCTGCCCTAACCCTAACCCTAACCCTAACCCTAACCCTAACCCCTAACCCTAACCCTAACCCTAACCCCTAACCCCTAACCCTAACCCTAACCAGTCCATCGGAGGGCAACCCTAATCCTAGCCCCCACGGGGCGGAGGTGGCCCTTCCAGGATCAAGCCCTCCTTGCATCTCGACCTCCGTCTTGACAATCCGACAGCCTTGCTATCCGACATAGAAGAAGGTTTTACATTTAGTGTTGGGTTATCGCGTCACCACCATATATAGTGAAATCATGTTTTGTAAATACCAATATCTGTGCAACATTAAGTTTTTAATGAAGTGAAGTCTAAAACAAGAATCCAACCTGTAAATCTTAAATTGATTATTAGTTTTCTGAAAAAACTAGTTTGTATGACTGTGTGAGATTCTCCTTTGCTTGAAAATATGTGACTGTTGCGTTTAACAAGAGTAAAGACGCCTTATTGACGGATCCATTTTAACCAGCGTGCTGACAGCCTGTTGATGAGCTCTGCTGGAAACATTCATTTCCCATCAGCCATCAGTGCTGTCAGACCCTGGTGGAGCCAGTCGACTCAGATGAGTCCAAATCTGGTTTAGGTGAGACACAGTGATGATATCGAGCTCTAATGAGTTCTGAACATCTCTGACTACGCTGCCTGGTTCTTTCAACAGCAGAACACATCTGTGGATGGAAAATCATGGGGTTTGTCAATAAACGGCATGAATCAGTTTGTCGAACCTCGTCAGAGGGTGACGCAGAAGCTGATCCACCCTGAAGAGCAATGTGATCCACCTCTGGACTGGGAAACAGGACAGCTGGCTCCTCAAGTCCACACTCAGCGGCCAGTTTCCATTTGATGAGTTTCTGCAGTAACCTCATCAGACGAGGTCATGTCCTGCATTTCCAGCAGTCAGAAAGTCTGTGATAAGAAACTGTAGCTCTGTCCTCTCGTGTGTTTCTATGGAGCTCAGGGATGTATGTGACATTACATCTGCTGTTCTGGTTATTTCTGGTCTGGCAGCTTCACTTTGCTGTTTAGGAAGCATCTGGAGATGCACACACTTAGTTGGAAAACACAAAACCAGTTGTGTTAATTATATATCGGCCACGGGCCCTACTCTGAGCTTCTGTCTGAACTCTGAGTTCTCAGCTGACTTAGTCTCAGTACAGATGAAGTCATTATAGCGGTGACTTTAATATCCATGTAGATGATGAACAACAGCCTCAGCTCTGCATTTAGTTCACTGTTAGAGACTCAGGTGGCTTCTCTCAGAATGTCAATAAACCAACTCAGAGCTTTAACCCTTGATCTTGTTCTGACATACGGGACAGACATCGAACAACAAAACTCTGTCCTCTCTGATCATTTTTAATTCAATTCAATTCAATTCAATTTTATTTGTATAGCGCATATTTACAACAACAAGTCATCTCATAGCGCTTCACAAAGGCAGAAACAGAAACACCCAACAATCCAAAACATTTGGATTCCCTGTAAGCTTCAGCAGTCCATTTGAATTTCCAGTCATGGACTATGGAGCACCACCCAGAGAGTCCATTACAGCAGATGTCTGTCTGATAAAGCAGGAACTAGTCATGTCCCTGCAGCCCCGGCCCCTGCCCTGCTCTCTCTCTGGCTCCCCAGCACACAGGCAAGTGTGTCTGGTTACCAATCTAGTGATTGGTACGTGGGGATTGGTCCGCTCCAGCTGCGACCTCCGGTCTGCTGGTATTTCAGCTTCGGCCAGACAATGCTCCAGCGCCACGCCGTCGAACCATTCACCGGTTCTGCCACCATCACCATCATACTCCATCCACTCCTGCCATTAGGAACCGGATTCTCCACCTGTCACCTGCCCGCTCTCATCCACTCGTCAGTTCCGACGCCGCTCCACCACTGCGGCTCCGTCAGCTCACCAGCACCAGCCCCGCTCACCTTTCCCTCCCTGGATTTCCTGGCGTCCGCCCCCGGTCTCCGCCTGCCTCTCCACCGCGGCAACGCCAACCCCTCTGCACCACCTACCCTCCTCCCTGCTTCCCCTCTCCACTCGGTCGACTCCTGTCAGGTCTGGTTCTCCCAGTGTGGTTTTTGCTAGCCTCATAAATTAGCATCCTGATTTAGCATCAGTGCTCTGCCCGTCTGTATGTCGCACTAGCTTTTGAGACATCTTTTGTCTACCTGTCTGTATGTCGTGTAATTCTTAATATTGCACTCAGTCTGCCAGTCCGTATGTAGCGTTAGCTTTGGAGTCTTCTTCTAGTCCACCTGTCCGTATGTTCTGTTTCTCCTCGCTCTGAATTAAGTCCGCCAGTCTGTGCGTAGTGCTAGCTTTAGAGATAGCTCTTGTCTGCTAGCCCTTTCTGTTTATTATTCAGTTTCCTCGTTAGCACCTTTTGGTGTCCTCTTTTAGTTGCTCCGCTGTTTAGTCTAGTTTTGGTTTCCCGGTTCCCGACTCGGTGGTACCGAACTCAGGTCCGTGTCTTAGTTCTTTTGTTCAACCAACCACTAATAGGTGTAGTTTGCCCTGCCTGCAAACCTCCTTGAGTTTTGTATTTATTTTCCTGTGTGTACCAATAAATTATTTTTGTTCAAACTGCCTGTCTGCCGTGTCATGTTGCCTTGCGCATGAGCCTTCGAACCATCCCGTAACAGAACTACATTTAAGGAAATGGTTCCAGGATTATTGACTTCAATGCCAACCAATGGAGAGCAGCTCCTCTGGTCTTAGTCCCACACAGGTGGATCATCTGGTTGGTAGAACTGCAGCTTTACTGCCTTCATCAACTGATGCTGTTGCCTCACTGAAAAAGAAGCCTATAAATGATCATAAAACAGCTCCGTGGTCTAGTCAACAGCTGTGCATCTATAAACAGGAAGTAAGAAGGTTAGAAAGACAGTGGAGCTCTAGCAAGTCAGAAGAATCTCATCTAGCCTGGAAAGTTCTGGTTCCTCCATAGAACTGGAGTTCTGTCCAGGAACTATTTGTTCTGGTCCCTCTGAGTTGGCGTGAAGCTGTTGAATCTACAGTGGAGACAGAAAGACTGACAGGAAGCATCAGTGAATGTTCCTTCAGTGGAAGGATGCTCGACGTGCTCAGTGATAAACTGACCCAATTCGTAGAAAGTTTTGAAAGAAAAATATTTTTATTGACAAAAATGTGTTTCTGCAGAACTGATATAAGAAACAGATGAACAGTGAACAGTATGTTTGACTGTGTGCTTCACATATCTTCATGAAAGATCTCCTCTTCTGCCTTCTCTTTGTCCCTCTCGCCCTCTCTCCCCCTTCCCTCTTTTCCCTCCTTTCCCTTTTCCCACATGGTCTTCTCTTCTTCCTCTGGTCTCCTGCCATTCTCTTTGTGTCTCGCCACTTCTGATGATGTGGTAGAAGTTTCTGATTAGCCTGTAGCACCTCTGGTGAATCCCCCCACAAGCTCTGGCTATGACGCTCTCAGACTGAGACCTTCTCTGGTAGTACGAGCGTCCTCCCTCTGACATGGAGTCTATTTTGTCCAGCAGAGCTCGTACCTGCTTCCTGTCCTCCATGTCTCTGTTGTTGAACACGTGGCAGTAGCCGTTACAGCTCTTCACCAGCTGCTGCAGGTTGTTGTCTTCTCGGATGAACTGCTGAATGTCGGTGTGGTCCAGTCGGTCTCCGTAGGTGAACAGCAGTATGGTGTGTTGGGAGATGTTCGAACTCAGCATCTTCTGCAGAGTCTGCAGTCCTTTCTGCTCTTCTTCGCTGAGCCTTCCCAGCTGGAGGGTGAGGAGGACTGCGTGAGGACCCGGAGAGCTGAGCCGGAGTGCTGCCAGCAGCTCTGCTTTCACCTCCTGTGCTGACAGCCGAGAACTGAACAGTCCGGGGGTGTCCACCACCGAGACCCTGCGACCATCAGCGTCACCGTCTACCTTCCTGCTGCTCAGAGTCAGAGGTTTGGAGCTGATCTTACAGTCAAACTCCTTCTTTCCCAGGATGGTGTTTGCTGCTGAGCTCTTCCCCACCTTCTCCTGACCCACCAGCACCAGTCTGAGGTCTGAGAAACAACACAGGTCATCAGGGCACCATCAGTATGTTCACACATCTCACACAGCATCATCCCTGATTATATACTCATGCTGACACAAACACGTGTACAATGAAGGTCTTGGGATGTTGACATTTATTGAAGTCTTCCACAGATAAAGCACAGGAGACACAAGAAGCCAAACTCCACACAGGTTCTACCTTTGAACAGATCTTAGTCTAAAGAAACTACTGTTCCCATATTTTGGAAGGAAGAAATGCTCACTGATGTTTTCAATTACTTTTGGGCAAACGTGAAGCTGTGCAACACAAATGAATCTGTGACATCAACATTGGACAGACTCCAATCACTTGAGGTCCCCTACCAAAGGGATAGAAAAAGTTCGATCTTGTTATTTCCATGATTTCAAAAGCGTCCCCCTCTACGATGTCTCGTCTCACAGCAGCTTCACTGGACCTTCTGGAACAGTCCAATCTGATGTCTGCTGTAGGAGCTTTCAGTGGACAGGAGACACCCTGGAACTCTGATGCTGCAACCCTAACCCTACTAACCCTACTAACCCTA